TTTTTTAGTTGTCACTTGTCATATTCAAATAAATTGGTTGAAATTTAGTTTTTTTTGCAATTCTATTAACTTTGGTGAAATTTTTGCATCTACTTCATCATCACATAACTATCTTCAAATAAGAGTTGACGACACATTCTTTTCATTCTTTTGAAACTCTCCGACACGCTTTCCAAACTTTGTTCGATTTTATAACTTTTATATTATTTATACAATATGTTGAAATATTGCATTTTATCCAGTTCTGAGCTATGTTTGAAATTAAAAGTCCCTTCGGCTCATCGGTAGCTTATTTTCAAATCGATTGCAAAATTTGAACCAAACAGAGAAGGTGAGAGTAAAAATGTGGATAAAAATTCAAAGCGTTTCTCAATATAGTACATTACTTCAAAACACCCATTTAATTTTCCATGAAATTTGTTTTACTCTCAAGCAGTTTGTCTATTACTCATTTCTTGAGCAGTATCTGAAATGTCAAACGCTGGATGCGAAGTAAGTCCTAAAAAAGGAAACTGTGAAACAGAAACATCGAAGGTTCCGACGCAAGTGAAACTACTGTTTTTTAGCATTATACTGTGCCCAGGCACTTCCCGAAGGCACTTCCCGAAGGTGTGGCTGGTGTGAATCACACCAGCTACACCACTGGCTGGTGTGATTCACTATAACTTTCTGGAACCGGATTAAACCATCACAGCAGATTCCTATTATGAAGGAATAGACAAAATGTACTGACAACTTCGTCACCAGCAGCCGGCACTGGTCAACAGAAGAGATCCGATCCTGCTACACGTCAACGCCCGTCCGCAAGTTTCACGAATCACCGTCCTAAAATTGAACGAATTGAACGTTGAAGGTTGCCTCACCCACCATTCTCCCCAGACCTCTCGTTAACCGAATAACATATTTCGAAGCACTTCGATAACTTTCTCAGCGGTAGAACCTTTGCCATTCAGCATCAGTCAAAAATGACCTTCATCGACTTCATCGAATCCCGAGTACACATATTTCATGCTGACGGAATTTATTGACTTGTGTTACGTTGCCAAAAGTGCAGTGATTCAAATAGCGCTTATTTCGATTGAATTGAATAAATATTCACTGAAGTATTACCGTTTATATACTCATAAAAACATACAAAACTTCTGAAACGACGTTATATTTCGGACCATTGGATCTGTAATTGCGTGGTTTCTATTATGCATTTGTTCGTTCCAAATTTACAAAACTGAACACACCTTTAGTCTACTTTCATTATCAAGCCATCAATTTCAGAAATCTTTTTCAGTTTTCACTTGCTGTATAATGTCTCCTAAAATGAACATCAGAAAAGTTCGTTATGCATACACGATGTCTACCAGAAATATAAAACAAACGGTAAAACGAAAACTAAGTCATGTTAGTTGAATAATACAAATCACAGTATTTTCTTGTTCTTCACGCTGTGAAAGTACTTTTTTCACCTATCCATCAGTTCTATAACATATAATGATTACTTCAAAAATACTACTCTCACAAATACACAAACAACTCAAAAACCAGCAAACCACAAACAATAAACATGTTTCACATTCAGCTGTACAGATTACCTGTTAACCGTTTGATGTCACCATTCATGAAAGGTCTTTGTGACGTTATGTGAGAAAAACTGGTGCTAAATTTGAATTGATGTAGTACTAAATTTGAGATATACCTCAAATCGTTTTTTCTTATTCATTATACTCGAGCAGATATGTGAAATGAAGGAATAGGATCAGAACTGATTAAACTTGGAGAATCTGGGCTAGAGGAGAAAGTTGTAAGTAGTTCAAAAAAACATCAAAACTTAATCAACATTTTTTTCCTAAAGTATAAACAATGATTTACAACTTCATGAGATGAATAAAAAAATTGCCTGTTTGAAAAATAATTCAGGCTCAATATTGATATTCAGTCAAATATTCATTGATAGATTTGAACAGATATAATAAATTACCTACCTTCCATTTTTACATTGCGATGAATCAATTTCCTCAGATGTGACGAAGAAAATCATATTAACCCAAGTTGCAATTTAGGTAATTCTTTGCGTGACACACTCAGTGTTGTTATTCAAGACACAATTGTGCCAAATGGCGCCCATTTCGGATTTGGGTGCATTTATTATGCACGCACTTTGTAAAAATAGCACTCTGACATATTATACTTTTATTATTCACTTAGAAATCTATGAGGTCTATGAAAATGAAAACGAATAAACTTTATCACTTTGGTATTGTTGTAAATCATTCCTATCAGCTTTCGAAGACTTCCATTGGGATATACAAGCACTGCCGATAGGCGAAGGAGGGTAGTCTTGTTGAAAGTGCGCTATGAAGTGAGCCAATAAGGTGATATACCTTCAAGTATTATTTTGGAGTTCAAATTGCAGTGTAGTAGTGAAATAAAGTTGAGTTTCATTGTACAGTGTGGTCAATTATTGTCGAACCCACGGGGAACACGTAACAGTATTGAAGGTAATAATCATAAATGGTTCGAGTTGTATTTATTTAGAAGTTTGAGGACCATATTTATATTACTCAACAAATAACTTTCATCTTGCTTCTGAACAGGCAACATTTTCCAAAAAGGACTCTGGAGGAATATGCAAACTCCCGAAGGGATGTTATTCAGATTTATCATTGTATGTTGTGAAATAACTATATTTATTTGTAGTACTCAAAATAGAATTTGAACTGGATACAAATTCTTGACATATATAGGACAGCAATGTTTTTTCAAGTATTTTCTTTAAAGTAACCACGAACGTAACCCAAATAATTTCCTTCTGGTGTCGATAAATGCCCATAAAAATTAAGGATATCAGAATCAGTTTCCATTTTTACACGATGTGTGAAATATTGTAAAGAAAATGTGTTTTTAAAAGCTCTCTAACAAATTGAATATGTGGAATTTCTAGCATTACCGTAACTATTTCGTATCAGACAGAAATAATTTAAAAGCAGTCCTGGTTTATATTTCCTGTCAATATGCCCTTTATCTTCCAAATCATGCAAAAGTTGTATAAATGCCAAAATAGTAACTTTCCACCACTTTATAAATATCATTCTTTTAGTCATATTTTTACTACCTACCGTTAAACAACTGGAAAACAAGTTGAAAACCAGAGCTCAAACACAACGCACTCATGTTTCAACAGCAGACAGTGTTGTTTTGACCCGCCATATGTCTCCTCAGTGGTGTTAGGCTGAACCAGCCTATACTCCATCTAAGTAACAGAGTGCTGTAAAACATTAGGTATCATGCATAGTGCACGTGATCTCCCAGACAAGGCTGCTTGTACAAAGTCTGACTAAAGAACGACCGAATTTTTTTTTAATAATATGCGGCTGGGTACAGCAACCTTTTTTTAGGTAGAAAGTAGGGATACAAATTAGCAGTTTCTTCAGCCGTATTGACATTGACATGACAGTACTTGACATTTTAAAAATTTTAAACATTATAATACCGAATATGTACACACCACAGGCGTTAAAACGCAACTGACAAATCCGACACTGTAACATGAATTCCGCCAGCCGATTGCAGTTAAATCTGATTGGCCAGCGTAAGAAGGCTTGTTTATTTTACCCAATAGATGCAAATGTGCGTGGTGATCATGCGCTAATCACGCATCTATCTTTGTTTGGGTTACTTTGTTTGTTGAATGAATATAGTTTAGTAACCGAATACTGTGATAGTGATTATGTGAAAATGACAACAATTTGGGCGAGTTCCTAAATTCACTAATGACCACCGAGTTTTCAATATCTTGACAGTTGTCACTTATGTAAAATTTTGCCAGGCGTTTTTTCGTTATTGCCGACATTTCATCAATCACACTGAATCTGTAAAATTTGTCAACGGAATCATTAATGAATTTCTGTTGAATTTAAGGTCTCTTTCTCATAGAAATCTTGGCGAAACCAGTTATCATAACACGCTTGATAAAAACGATTTTTAATACACTGACCCGTTACTTGGTGAAAATCGATGACACTATTTACGATAATTACTACAAATACATAGAACTTATTTTCGATATGCGTTTTCTACAACAGTAGCTTTCAAAGTTGGACTGGTGTCCAACACAACAGTAGCTTCCACAGTTGGGCTAGTGTCTAACTGAGGAAATTACTGTTATACTGAAACGCGTATTGGAAATAAATTTCATAAAGTGAAAATTTGTAAAAATGATTCAAACAATTCGAATTATAAAAAGTACTATAATATTACAAAATTAATACCTTTCAACACAACTTAAATATGGCATCATGTAGAATTGATTAACACTAATCATATTTTCTACCGACTTATAGGTTTGACCACAAGTTAATTTTTATTGTTCTTGGGGTTCGGCGAAGCTATTATTTATCAAGAACTGGAAAACAATTTTTGAAATAGTGAACTTTTCAGAGTATATGGTTATACTATCTCTATGTGGATAGTAGGTAGAGATAAGGAAAACACTTTCACTTGGCTGATTTTTAAACAGCCTAGTGCAATAATTCTCACCTAAAAGTACGTAATAACATTTCAAAGAATGATATAAAAATTTAAATTTGAAAAAAATAGTATCTGAAACACACCGTTAATCGAATTTATAATTTTTCACGGATACTTTCTGAGTGAACATCACTTGAGTGATCATAGATGTCGCATACTACGAAATTGAACATTTTTAACGTTTATTTGAAACTGTCGTAACACCGTAATATCATATGCAAATTGTAACAAAAATGTTACAATTGTAACACTTGAAACAACACAGACACTTCAACTTTAAAAATTGCTGTCAATTTTACTCCAACTGCTGATGATTACAACGTCATTCGAGAACATCTTGATTGCTGTTGGTGTTACTGGTCACCGGTGCCTATAAAAAATTGAAATTGACATCATTGACAGGTTGTCATTGTCTTTACTTTTCATATGTTTACGATTACGAACAGGAACGAACGTCAAATCGTAATCTAAGATCGATTCGTGATCTGGCTTTCATTGAGTGAACTGGTCGAAAAAGTGTCAGCGTCACAAATTGGAAGAGAGGTTGAATCTGCAATCAGAGAAGATCAAACAGGTGTGCTAGTATCTTTTCTTTTACTCATCTCATATTCATACATTCTTATAAATCAACCCATACATAATTTGATTTAACCTTTTTTATAACATGAGTTCGGAGTCGGGGGGAGAGGAATCTCCCCCNTCCTATTTTCGTTTTAACCTTTGTTTGTATTCTATCTGTCACTTATCCTTATCTAGCACGAGAAGAGATAACGGACCAGTAAACATCAAATCTAATTAAGAAAACAGAAGTCTTGGATTACAGCATGATTCACAATCAGACCAAGCTGTAACCATCCGAATCGAGCTGGCTAAATGCGCCTATAGGGAAGCAAAGGCCAAGAACTTTGAGTGAAGTGAAGTGAAGTGAGTAATCTAAGATGAAATTGGCTGAAGTAATAATGTTAGACAAATTGTGATATTGCTTATGCACTTAAAGAAAATTCGATAGTTTATTTTCAAAGTAGTAGGTAACTTTAACATGGCACAATGCAAACAAAGTCCTCAAGAATTTATCAAAAATGCATTCAATCCTCAAGTGGCAGTAATGTGCACCCCAATTGCCGAAAAATGTTGCCAGAAAAATAATTTGGATTTCATAGAGTTACTGCAACCATTTTCTAAGTTGAGCAATGATGGTATGTATCAGAGATCTCTCAAATTTGGCTCTGGTGTTATTTCAACACAGTTTTGTTTTTCTAGTTTCATACAAAGATCCAACAGGAACTGCTAAGACTGTTCGTAATCTCAGGTTAACATTCATGGACATATCTTGGAGACCTCCCCAAACGCCGCTGGCGCGAAAACTATTAAATTCATCTGTAAGTAATGCTCCGGAGAGTAAGAACCAATTATTTCAAGTAGGAAAGTACAACCTGGATATACCTTTGAATACCCCTTGGTTTGAGGCGTGGAGAGACACATTTTTAAGAGTACAATATCCTTCAGATCACGAGTTCACTAAACATTTTCTAGCCTGTATTTTAGTGGTGAGCTCAGCTGATAACACTCCAGTTGAAACATTTGTAAGGTTAGCACAAACTTTGACTCAGGCACAAAGTCGTGAGCCAGGAAAACTGCCAAAATGGTTCAATTCAAGTATTTTGAAGTATTATGTTATTATGCATGACAATCTGGATGGTGATTTATCTATGTAAGTATTTTAATGTATATTTCTCAATATCCTGAGTAATTTTTTTTTTTAATGTATACATACTAATTTTTGTTTACTGGTCACGAATTTGGAGTCAAAACTTCGCGCTCTGCTCTACTTTCATAAGTAGGAAAAAAATCAACTATTTCTGAAAGTCACTTCTGGTAATAAAAACACATAAAATCAAGTACTTAGAAGCTCATATCAACCAGGTAGGTTTTTACTCTAGCTTGACCAGGTTTTAGGGTGAAGTTATTCCTCCAGAGTAGCATCTGTTGTTGAATACATCTCATAATTTTGTTAGCTATTACAAGGATTCTGAACTAATGCATGATGAGCTAATATGTTAAATGCTTGCCATAATCTATCTTCATAACCAGCCATGCTTCTCTTGTTTTTATTATTGTTGTTATGTTTATGTTTTTTATTGAGAGTGAACTCGAGGGCTCCGAATATTTTAATCACTGATCATTTACCTGATCCTTGGACACATTTCATTGATGAACATTTGGATATTAAAGAGTATCAGGTATCTACAGACAATAATGTGATGAAAACATCATTAGAAATTGGACAAGAAGCAGAAGAAGTTAAAAATATTGATTACCATCCTCTCAGTCCTGTCAATGAAGATTTGTCTTTGGTGAGTGACTATAGCTCTTGTGAATAATCAATATGAAAAAACTGTGTCAAAGGTATTTTCCATGTTTGTTGGCCGTGATCTCTTGGTATTTATGCCTGACGTTTCATCTACGACTGCGATATACATCAATGGTGATGGGGCAACGGATGAAGTGTTCCGGTTGTTCTCAAAGTTCATACTACAGAATTGATTTGGATCTCCAAATGAATGCCATTGGTGGTGGCTTCATTTCTATCAGTTGAATTAAATGATCTGATACGAGAGCAGATTTTATCAATAATTCTCTCTTCCTTTTGCTTGAATTTCTGTCTTCACCCTATATAGTCTTCGATAGTAACTCTGAGTTCTTTCGGGGACCTGGGTTCTTTCAAATATGATAAATGTGGGTACCTTCTCTAAGTGCATGTTCCGCTATTGCTGATTGGTCAGTATGCCCTTGGCGATTATTTCTCTTATGTTCAGAGAGCAGTACTTACACTTCTCTTCGTGGTTCCAATGAGTGTTGTGATGGAGGCCATGTATGAATTTTTTTGTGGTTCCAAAGAGTGTTGTAACAGAAGCCATCTATGCTTCTTTTTGTGGTTCCCATGGATGTTCTAACGGAAGCCACATAATGGAAATGGAAACGAAAGTGCGAAAGCAGATGTTAGCAGATACATATAGAAAAAAAATTTATTGTTCATTGAACTTTTACTTTCAGTAGGATACAAAATATATACTTCAAATCGTGAGGTGTAGTTTATGAAACCTTAGATAATGTCTACCGCATCGTAAACGAAACACCATACTTAAAATCCTGGGACCAAGGTCAGCAAACATGGACAATAGCTTTTTCACAGTTATCACTGTTCGTGAGATTCTACACTCTTTGAATATGTAGAAATCTTTTATTAGGTTCGATTGTTGATTTGAAGCTTTAGTTACTTACATTGATTTTTCAGGGAGATTATATGAATGAGGAAGATAAACCTCTGAAAATTCCACCAAAACCTAAAAATCATGGTGCTTGTCTATCAAGTGACGATGTGGAACAAGTGAAATTGTTGGTGTACGAATTTGCAAAAAGTTGTTTACTACCATACATAGAAAAACAAATACTTGTATTGAATGATGTAGTCTCAAACAAGAAAGGGGTTAGCAAATCAATATTTAGCGCTACGAAAAGATGGTTTAGTGCAAATAAGCCTGGAGCTAGTTCTGTTGCTGTCAATAATTTGATGTGAGTAGACTTAGTATTTAATTTTCAATAAGTGTATATTAGATTTATTTTACAGATACTCTCCAGATTCCCCAGAGTTACAGATCAGAAGGTTGGGCGACTTATATTTTATGTTTGGTAACTATTCTCTAGCTTTTCAAGCATACCATTTGGCAAAGAGGGATTATAATACAGATCAAGCTTGGTTATACTATGCTGGAGCCCTGGAAATGGCAGCTTTATCAGCATTCATGGCCAATGAATCCAATAGAAAAAGCTGTGATTATATGGAGGAAAGTATTATAACTTATTTGAACACCTGCAAGTAAGTATCTCATGTAATATATTGATGTAAACATTTAATGTCTTCTAGGCTTCAATAAAAAAACCCTGATGTATCTTAAAGGGCCAGTTTTTGCATGGTAATTCTAAATTGTTCTGAAATTAGGTTTTTTATTTTTTTAACCTATTATCATTATCTCAGATGTGTATATTTTTTTATTTTTTATGATTTTCTGATCCGGTTGTATATTTTTTCCTAATTGGAAAAAATATAGTTGAGTGTAAAATTCCTTGAAGGTTTATGAAACAAAACACATGACATTGAAAATGCATTGTTTTACCTCCGGTTGTAGGCATATATATGGATTGAGAATATAGCATGTTTTGTAATAAAAGTTTTTACGAAAGAACAAAAAAATATAGTTCTTGAAACTTTTGTTGTCAATTTTTTTCAATCACTTGAATTGTAAAAGTACCAAGACGAACAGTTTGTGGAATACAAAACGAACTACAAAAAAATTACCCTACAATGAGTATATTTTTTGTAATATTTTTGTTTCATTTTTAAATGTGGTTAAGTGGAAAAATAGCTCTTGCTAAACTCGCCGCTTTTAAAATAAAGTCCATTTATTATTATTACAAGCAACGTATTCCACCATTTCCAAAAGTTTCATGTGGAAACACAAATTTGTACAGAACTCAAGAAATCTGGTCGTTTCTGAGTACCAGTCTTATCAGTTCTCTTCTTGGATCATCTTTTTATCATCCTTTTCAATAGGCTTCATAATAACTTACTGCATCTAGAGAATATTTCTTTCTCATGTAATTTTTTTTATATGGAAAATACTGATGTGTAAGGCTAAAAAGAAACATTAGGCTGCAGGACATAAACATCCAAAGGTATATTAATTTACGACTGCAATGGAAAGACTATGATTATCATGTTTTATTTTGAAATGGATAATCAAAGATGTCAATTATACAATAATGCAAGGAAAAAGAACACAAAGGCACAAATACAAACCTTTTACTTTCAACCTAAAATTTTCAGTTGATAAATAATCAAATGTAAAATGCATTTCATTACGTTTACATGCATTTGTATCTGTGGATTGGTGCTACGAACGTCATTTAATAAATAGTATCATTGATGCCATGTAATTGATTTCATTTTAATATAAACCATGAACTGGTCAAAACTGTAAATAATATTTCAGAATGCCCCAGTTTTCTACAAGAGCAACAATACTCAGTGCAGAATGCCTCAAATTCCAAAACCTGTTCGGTGAAGCTGCCCACCAACTGATCAGGATGACGAGTGAAGAATCAGATCTCAGATCAGCCTTGCTGCTGGAGCAAGCATCTTATTGTTTTTTACAATCAAAAATGGTTCGCAAATATGCTTTCCACATGGTCCTAGCTGGTCACCGATTTTCTAAGGCAGCCCAAAGAAAATATTCCTTGAGGTGCTACAAGCAAGCTTATCAGATATATGAGAATACAGGGTGGGATCTGGCTAGTGACCATATTCATTACACCATTGGCAGGCAGGCTAATAACTTGCATCATTTTGATGAGGCTGTGGATTCATTCTCGAAACTTTTGCAAGGGGAAAGTAAGCAGACTCCACAGCAGCAAGCAATTTTTCTGAAGGAGTATTTGGCAATATTAGAGGTAAGTTTTATGTTGAATGTTACAGGTTCGGACTTCTATAGTCTAAAAAGTTGTTAACAGATTTGAAATCTCTGAGAAGAAAAAATAATAATAAAAACTAATATGAACTACGCCGACGACACTAACCTTCTGCTGAAAGGCGCCAATTTTCCAGATATAATCAAGAACGATAGTAACATAAATGCAACAAAAAATGCAAAGAATATTTCCTAGAGAACAACTTGGTTCTAAATGATGGAAAAACCGAATGCATTATGTTCAAGACCAATAACGGTATTGAAACACCACATTGTGTAACTCTTGATAATAAAAAAAATGTTTTAAATTCCTCGGCCAAGTTTCTAGGTATTGAAATAGATGATGCTTTGGGTTGGACAAGTCAGATAGATAATATATGTAGCAAGTTATTTTAAGTTATATACGTAATGAGAGTATTTATTAATACTCTCTTTACTCTTCTTTAAACAAATATGTAAATTTTGGGAAAAAAATTTTTGGCTTTCTACTTCTCCATCTTGACACAAAAAATGTAGGAATCTTCCAAAGAAAGGAAGGAAGCAATCACTATCAAAACTTAACTCAATACAAAGATGTGTAGATCATGCAAAAAGTTAACTTTCAGACACAAACTGGAAGAAAATTAATCTCTCCTAAAAATTACCCTTCCAGTGTAAACAAGATTTCTATGGCTGGGATTTAATGAAATAAGGGAATGAATGTTATTTTCGTACTTTCATCGATAACATGGGCGGATTCAATCCATTCCGTGACAAAAAGTCGTAATTATGAACAAATTGAGTGTTTTTTTTCTCATGTTATCCGTATTTGATACTGAAGAGCCGATATGGCAAGTGTCTTACAGAGAAACATCGAATGTCTAGCAGTGAGGATGACAGTGTTCCATGTAAGTGAAATTTTACTTCTTTCGTTAATTATATTGTCTAGGAATTCTTTCAATGATATCTTTTTCATCAGGAAAATCCATGTACTCTTTAATATTTTTCCTCTCGTCTCAGTTGTGTACTTCTTACTACCATATGCCTTTGTATGGCGTAGCGTATTATTCTTTAATTTTAATCTTCTCAGTGGCACATACATTTCAGTGACTTTCTAGAGAACATCACAGAAAAACTCAAAGACAAGATTGATATCTTTCTGATTTAACATAACAGGCCAATCAACAAAGGTCAAGTGAAAATACCAATAATCTTTTTTTTTTTGAAATCATAATTTGATGATTGTTCTTGCTGCTCAATGGTAGCAGCGTCATTATGGAAATTTAGGTCAATTAAAGAGTCATGATCCGAAAATTCATTGGAGACAATATGATTAAATAATGTATCTAAAAAATTTCCATGGTTATTTGAATGACTATAAATTTGACTTTGTCCTTATGCATTAAAAGTGTCATTTATAGTCTTTCCTGGAAATGTGTCGAGACATATGATATTGTATAATTTGTTAGAAAAAAAAGGTTTATCTTCTCTTAGCCAGTAAAATAATTTTGGGAAATCTTAAGTGCGCCATACACACGCCATGAGGGTATTAATTTTTTCAGACTTTCAGACTTCTTCTTATTTGGCATCATATACCATTTTCTATATTTCACTATTGAAAGCCATAAGTTTTTTTCAAAAACTTAATTATAAACAAATGTAAGAATTCGATGATTTATTTAATAAATTTCGAATTGTTTCAGAATAAACTCAAAACTGAGAGTGAAAATGATCAACTAACGAGTCCAATTTTGCCTGTACCAGAATTAGACGTAAACTCTGTTAAGTTATTAGTTGGACCTACCAGACCTCTCTCAACTCCTGGTACCATACCAGCTCTAGGTATAACCTTCAATAGTACAGAAGATTCTGTATTGAGAAACAAGTGGATGAAACTGGAGGAAATGTTTATACAAGAAGTGGAAGGTCCTCTCTCAGTTGTATTCAAACCCATGGTGACCCTCTACACTTTGAATAAACTAGACAAAAATAAACCAGTTGCTATTGTGAATGAACCAGTACAAATTTACCTGAAACTGTGCAATACTCTTCAAACGTTACTGCTCCTTAAAGATATGTATTTGTTGTGGACGTTTCGGAATGGAGATGATGTTATTACCAATGAAATTATAAATAGTAATAAAGACGAATATGTTAAGACCTATATAACGAAGTCTGTAACAATCGAAGCTGGGTCGTATCAGGAGTTGGTCCTTTCATTGACTCCGCTGATGACTGGCAGCATGACGATATATGGTTTTTCTTATACATTAACAGGATCGAACTCGGCTGCAGAGTCAAATTCTATAAAAGGGAAACAATTTATAGAAATTTTAGATAGCAGTGCCAAGGACGACCAAAGTATTGTGAATAATGAACGCAGTTTTTTAGACGTAATAGTTGTTCCACCAGCACCATGTCTTCAGGTGAGTGAATCTAAATATTGCATTTTTGTCTGTAACCTTAACTACATTGACTACATTGATTTGATGATCACTCAAAACTATATCATGGATTTGCTGTTACAAGTATGTCATAAAAAGACTTACTTCTTTATCACCAAAAGTTGTATCAATTAGTTTCTGAAAAATACTTGAACTAGATGTTATACAGTTTCATGAACGATTTTTACCGAAAATTTTCTTTTTTGTATTTATACCAATAATTTTTCTGGAGTCTTCGTCTAGTTCTATTTGTGAAATTGCTTGTGAATTTTTTTTTACTTCAAAAAAGTCCGCCTGCTGAATGTGCCAGAATTTGTTCAATTCTAGGGGTAGGGTTATTATTCATGTGTGAATTTCAATTTACTGATACCTCAAAGTCGCCGCATATGCGGATTGCAGCATTTTTTTACAACCGGGACAATCGGACGCCCAGTCAATAATCTCCAGTAGTTGAAATGCCTTCCCCAACTAATTTATCCAGTTCCTCTTCAATTTTTAATTTCTCATTTATAGGTTGAGGTCTAGCCCTACAAAACACTGGATTGGTTTGAGGTTTTAAATTTAAGGTAGCTTTGAAAATTTTTAACTTTCCTACTTTAGATGAATATTCTAAAACTAGATTTTTTTATTTGGGCAACCCCTTTATCCGTAGATATATTATTACAGGCAACATTATTGATGTTTTTGATATTAAGTTCAGAAAAAGCCATTTTTGACTGATAAAAGGAGGGCCTCCCATAGGAATTATGTCCTTGGCTCTGCTTAATCGGGTATCATTCACAATTATTCAATAGTAAATACATTATTATAAGAAGATAATTTGATTTTTTCGTCCAAAATACGTAGTGTTTCGAATTGTTCAAAACAAAAACATTCGTAAATCAAATTAACCACTGATCCAGTATCGACTTCCATATCTAATGATACATTTTCAATTTTTATTTTTACTTTTATTGGACTACATTTGTTATTAGCAAAAAAGGAATATAAATTGACAGAAACCACACGTTAAAAAGTAAGGCCTCTTTACTCCTTAGCTCGCACAAGTTTCGACTTTTGAGAGTTGTCGTTCGTAGCGGTGTGACAGCTGGTTAACCGAAAAACAGGTTTTAAAAAGATTTTTTCAACAGAATTGCGGTATTGCATACCGCAAACCTCACATTCACGGATTGTTTTCTGCCTTCTTTCCTTTGTAGTCTTGATGATGATGGTGATGGTCGTTGGTTGCATCTACGAAATTCTCCAGAACTGGAAAATATTTTCTGTGGCATCTGGTTTATTTTATGTTCCTACAAGGAGCCTACCACTCTCACAAGCATGAGTGTAATTTAGAAATTTTTCAGAAAATAGCCTTTGTTTAAAAGTCTCATTGTATAACCCAGAAACCAACTGATAACAAGTTTTAGCTGTATCTTTGAGAGCCACCATATACTCTGCCACTGTTTTGCCTTTGTCCTGACGTTTCAACCGATATTTGTGTATTTCTGCGATGACGGAAGAATCCGGCTTGAGATGATTTTTTACAATTTTAATGAGGGTTTTGTGAGTTTAGTCGTTTGGAGTATCTCGGGGCTACACAAATCCATCATTCATTCTTAACTAGTATTCCCTATGACAGTGATAAAGGTACCTTTAGTTCATAGCGTATTCCATTTGTTATTGAATATTTTTTCAAGTGAGCCATGTATGTTTTCCAGTTCAATCCAATTCAGAATTCATTTTTGTGCCAATTGACATTTTGATTTAGTAATCACTGCACGTGAAAATAATTTCCTCATCGTGAATTGTAGAGTTTATCTATTGAAAGCACTTTCCCAACACCAGAATAAAATTACGATCTCTCGACGCGCCGTTTCACTAACCAAGTTAGAGCCTAGAAGAGGTCATTATGACTGATAATAATTCACGAACTATCAATTTTCAATTTTAGAGTTGTTAAATAATCTTTTCACTATGATTTTTCAATGGTTATAAATAAATTCAAAAAAATTACATCAGTTCTATTTATTGACTGCCCGTCAAAAATCGACTAAATCCTGAAATCCTATATACGATACATAAAAAACAACCAATAGAAAAACATAGCATTTTTATGGATAGCTCACCAGTGGCAGGTGATTTGAAATTCTTGGACAGGAAACAAAACTGGTAATCGAATCTACTACACCTGTATACTAAACATTATTTCAGAAAGTTCAATGTATTGATATCTGAAACTTTTGTAAAAAACATATTTTGATATCTTCACTGCTTCATTTTAAAATTTTTATAGAAGCTTGAAGTGAAACAAAATTACCAAGAGAATAGTGATGAAGTTCTGTGGATCCAGTTCTATGTCTGCCTAATAAATATTTTTGTGTTTAATCTAATCTTTACATTGTTTTTATTTCAGGTCACATTCTCCGAAATACATCAGGATTTTTTAGCAGATGAACTGCAAAGAGTGTCTGTTAATTTCCAGAATACAAGCTCAGTGCCTCTACAGAATATTTACATGGCTACTTCAGTACCTCATTTGCTTTGTAATTGTGAGTTCAAACAGGAACGCAGAGATAATGAGAATACTATCGACCTGAGCACTCCTGCAGCTAGAGAAAAGTTTGTTAGAAAAAATCACCTAACGTCAGTACCCCTGCCAAAGGATGTTTTAGAGCCAGGGCAGACTCTGCCAATTTCAATATGGATTAAAGCACCAAATACCAAAGGATCTTGTGCAATAGATTTGCTCATTTATTATGAAAATAGCAATAGAAACAGTATTCCTAGGTGAGTGATATATTAATTGCTACGATGATTTTTATTTATTCACTTATACATTCCAACATTGAATTAGAATAGAATAATCTTCATTTGTTCCTTCATAATGAAAAACTTATTCCCAGTCGTAGAACATGTCAATACAATTACAATATACATAAATATAATCACATTAAATATACAGTTGGAAAGGAAAATAAAGTGAACATAACTTATTTTAAGACAACATTGAGAAAAATATTGTGTACAACTGAGCTAAAATCAATGCAGAGTAGGTGACTCAGATATTATGCACGTCTTCAGGACATTGCCTTTCTTCTTTTGATTGCATATACATTTTTTATGTTCATTTGATATTTTTATACCACTTGTTATCCATTTTCTATTTTGTCTTTGTGTATTTTTAGGTATATATTTTTTTATGGTATAATTATATCCAATATTATATCTAATTACTGCTTGAGGGTGTCAATAATATCATCATAAGCTCCATTTGTATCAGAAAATGAAAAGATCTGCTCCCGATTTAAAAATAAGTTCAAGTTGAATATTCTTCGCTTAATTTTTCAATGGCTACATAATTAACAACGGATTTTTGAGTTCTGGGGCCCAATTCTAGGTTGCAGAGGTATTCGTAGACTCATTTCAGTGGTAGGTGATCAGGTGTTTTCCTATATTTTCCTAAAAGAATAGAGAAAGCCACTTCACAACTGATCAGAAGACATGAACAGCCACTTCTTGAGGAATAAGTTTTATTATATAAATTTATACTAGGGATATGGTCATATCCTTTTATTGAGGCGGAACCAAAGTAAGACCATTCCACTTTTTTTTTTTGTGGTGTTACAAAATTCTAAGAATCCTGTCGTATTGAGCTAGATAACTATAAATTACTATATTGAATCTAAATCGCAGAAATACTGTTCTGTTTATGTTGAAATCTGTTTTTCCATTAGCCAGCTGTCGCCCCTTACAAACGATAATCTTCAAAAGTCGAAGCTTCTGCGATCTAAAGATTAACGGGATCTTATCCTTCAACACGCGATTCCTAGCACTAAGTAATTAAATACTACATATCCTATTATAAATGTGGTACCAAAGTAAGAATGTTCCCTCCTCTTTTCGAATAGGATTACAAAAAATCTATGATAATCATCAGAATTTTTTTTTAATTGGTCCACATTTTTTAAGGTATCGACTGGTGAGGCACAATTGGAATCTAATGGTTCAGGAATCACTCATTGTGGATGTCTCATCCGAGACCAGCCATAACTCTAAAACTGTAGAAGAACTTTCTTTGGCCATAAAAATAACGAACTTGAACAAAGTCCATTACTCTGTAATAACTGAAGTGATGTTGCTCAGTGTTGGTCTTTTAAGTAAATATTGGACTCTGACTAAAGATATTGTAACACCCAAATATATCAATCTCCATTCTCAAGAATCGGCCCACATATTACTCAAAGCAAAAAGAGTTGTAAGGAATGTAAGTGAATATTCCAGCATACCTTTGAACGCTGATAAGAAATCCATGAATAGTTTGTTGAATACCTACCTAGCATTTGCCAAAAAAAATGAGAAACCTTCTTTAACCATGTTTGATGATTTTGAATCGTACAAGTTCAAAGAGAACAAGGATGGAATTTTACTGGTTCAGTGGCAAGCCCATGTAGTAGAAGGCGCTAAAAGGAGAATAGTCTATGGCCAAACTCAAGTACCAATCGAAATCAATAGAAAAAATATATTGCAGATAGATAGATATCTTGGTGAAACTTTTATTGACATATCTGATAAAACGCCATCTGAAGAATCTAGTAAGCAAAGTGCCGATAACCAAGTGTCTTACAACTTGGTCTACCCTCCAATTGTTCAACACGATTTTGAGAATTCAAAACTTTGTATCGTTCCCATAAAGATTCTCCTGCATAGTATAGTGGACACCAAGACACTTTCTGTGGTTGTAAATGTAACAGAGCCAAGGTGAGTCGAAATTATTGATGAATACAATTTAAGTTCTGTAGTAAGTAGTAAATATCGAATATCAAGAACATTGTGGTGACTTTTTGTCATTGTCACTGATTATCAAAATCAAGTAGCCTTCATACCAGATTTATTTCCAGTTTCTTCGAATACACAGAGTAGCAATTATTAATCTATGTATCACAATACTCTATGAATATAATATTAACCTTTCAAAGTATATTCAACATACAATGTGCTGTATTAATAATATACTGAAATGAAGTCCACTATCACAAATTTTCAATATGAATACATTTATAACAAAAACAAAGCATTCCTGATCTAATATCAGACACCACCAAAGGTCTCATCAGTGATGCTAGTATGAATCACAGCATCATCAGGAGATAACATAAACTACTTCGTACAAGCTATATTAGTATTTTTCTATGCTTCAATATGGATCATCACCTAACATAGTAGGGGTCATTAACTTAATTCCTGTGTGGCTTAATGCACGTCAACGGTAGCAAAAGCCATTATCATAGAGAGAACTTAATTCCTAGTATTTTGTTATTGTCCTATTGTTATTTATCACCTGACTGATGCCTAATCTTCACATGTTTTGCACCTATAATTATATAAGAGTGCAAACAAAGAGCTATTAGGAATGGGACCTTTATCAACGTTCATAGAACTCATTCCACATTTTTCGATTTCTAAACTTTTGAAGGTATCTGAAAACTTGTTGTCATGTACCGGTCTCAACAATTTCGAGCATTCCCCACTTATTCTGTGGCCGTTCTCCATGTTGAACAACTCTGGACTTATCTAGTCTACGAAATCGAATATGTGAAATATGTTCCTTGTAGCGATCTGAAAAAAATATCTAGGTTTGTACTGGAAAAAATGGTTTTGATGAGGACCCTGAATACACGAGAACATCATTTTGAAAATGTAATGTAATGTTCTTTTTTTTTCAACAAAATAGCTCAACATATTTTTTTTCTTTCTCGTCATAAGCATTCATACATATCATGGAAACCCTTTACATTGCCTAATTGGCCATTGGTATAGACAACTTTTTTCATTTAATTTAACCTTCTCTGTATCATTTACACTTGAAGATATCAAAAAAGTAGCCACCATGTATAAGATTAGGAATATTTACCTTGCAGAATACGTGAGCTCGGTGTGATTTTTTATTTTTTTTTACCTGTTGTCAGATGATATCTGTTCTATTGTATTAATTTAAAAAATATTACATGTGTAGAAAAGTCTCTCATTATACAGATGGTAAATAATATTTGAAATCTGTAAAATAGTGATATTTTCCCATTTTCATAAGAAACACTACAATTCAACAACAACTCAATTTTAATTTTTTGTTACTAAAGGACATTTTGTTTTCTGTACTCATTACAGCGTCAAAACCTGTACGAACAAAGCAAATCTCTTCTACAGTTATGCTTCTAGTAATTTCTGTTGGTTGGGAAATGCCAAAATTAATAAGGACCTGCAACCTTTGACAACTGATGCTGTTCATCTTGCTGTTGCTTTGTTGGGACCAGGAACGTTCGACTTAGGTGCTCATATTCAGGTTTTATGCAAGAGATCAGATTATCCTGAACCATTTGTACTTCAGTCTTGTCAAATTCATTCAACTTTGATTGTTGTAAATACTAATAGTTAATTAATTTACTCCCGACTTTCATTTTGTGTATATTAGAAATTGTTATATAATGTATTATACTACCATTGTACTTCAGAAATTTGAATTTAACAACAGGCAGACCCAATAAATCGTTGACCTACTTGCCTACTTGTAGTTTGCATTCATAATGACCTTTTATTACTGTACCTCTTTTAAAAATAAATTATAATCAGTAACATTCAATGAGATTGGCAAACCTAAAGGTAACCAAATTGATTGATTGCACTAGCAAGAAGGTTGAGTGGAAGAACAACTCAGTAGCACTTGTGCTGAGTTGAACTTAGCCTTTTGTTATGTCAGCAACTAGCTCTGTAATTTATTTGAATATTTGTATGTAACTACAGCTGGGAAACAATAAAGACGATAATTATTATTATTATTAAGTATTTCAGCAATAGTGAAAGCTCATGGAAGCTTGAGGCGCATGCGCACAATATAAATTGATGCAATTCCTTCAAGATATTCGGACTGTAAAGAGGGCGTAAGTTTTGAAAAAGAGAGTAGGTAGTAGGACCTGTTTCAATGTTTTTTGTAGAAATAAGAATCAAATCCAGTCCAAATAGACATGACAGTCCACAAAGTTATTGTGTCCCACCAACCATTCTTCAGATTTTTACATTTTCTACTTGTAGGAGATTCACTCCAGTTTATTGCTCAATTTTTTTTCTCTCATATAATCTATAATATGTATGGCAAAATGGGATGTCCGCAAATAAATAAATTATTTACAATAAATAATTAATTTATTTTTGCTCTCAATTGGGTTCGCATATTACATTCCAAACATTTCTTAAACATCTTTCTCATCAGATCTGAGATGGTTTGATATTATCGCGCCATTTACTTTATATATAAATCAATCTCTTGCATTTGGTACAGCAGATCACTGGTCAATATATACTTCATATGCTCTCGTGGGTAGAATTGACCAATGAGTTAATTTCAATTGCTACAGTGAGAGTGGTTAAAGGTTGTTTTCAGATTGTGTAAATACGAGCACCATAAGAAGAAAACGAATGTAACAAACAATTTTATTTGGTTTAAATTCAAATACATCATAGATAAATAAATGACAGATTAATATTGCACATGATTAAAAAAAATGCCTATGTCAAATGGACGTAATTTGCCGACAGTAAAATAAAATTATTGTGTGCAAATGATACAGCTAACATTAAGATGATTTGCTACAACATAATATGACTATATATACATGACTTAGCTGGGTATCTCGTCCATTTAAAATTAGGTTTCCAAATTCAACGTCTTAACATTAAATAACTGATAAAATGACAACCTGACGTGAATAATTCAAAAAACGAATGTCAATTAAAACAATGGTTACACTACAGCTCAAGAATGTACATATTCCTTTCAAATGGTAGTGTAATGCTGATGAAAACTTGTTGGACATAGGAAGCTATAAAAGTACTTGGTGCAGTGACACAGAAGCCAGTTAAGGCATCGGAAAGGGTTCTGACAATAACAAGAAGGCACAAGCAGCGGTAACCAGGCTGGTCAGTAAAAATGTGCCACCCAGCAACAATCATGTTTAGAATGGCGCAATACCCTGTGAACAGTCGACGAAAATTCAAAATCTATCTCAAACTACAAGCCTCTGTGCCTCAGACAGGCAGAATAATATTTTTCAGATAGTTTGGGATTTCCATACCTGTAACTGAAATGAACTATATCTCAAATAATGTGATGTTTTCCAGAGTTCAATAAGACACACTTCATTATATATAAAAATGGGTTATTAAATGTTCCGGATTATCATAAAATATCTGAAGTACACACTTTGATGCATCTGTATCAATGAAACCCCTATCTCATAATTTCTCAACTACATTTACCAAACAGTAAATTCACAAGAACTATTGGGTTTTAATCACAAACACGAATAATAGTAAGAAATATCATGTGCAGTTTAATATTTAGGTACAATATAATTATGAAACTTCATTGGGCAGAGTACATTTGATCATGACATAAAAGAATCAGATTAGCACATCATATCGAAGAAAAAACAAAAACGTGTCACTTCACAAGAGTAAGCCGCTACTTGTCCATCCATGTAGGAAGTTTCTGTTTCTTTTAGTACCATCTGGACGAAAAAGCCAATTCAAAACAACTATCAAATATATCAAAAATGAATTACACGAAAATCAGTTTTTCCCACTTAGTTTATACTTCAAACATTCGTTATGGAATTGAAACAATTCACAGGAATGCTACATAAGATTATATATGAACGAACATTGATATACAATTTCCCCTAATGGAAATCTATCATCCTTAAGGTGTATTTTCCAAAGTGTTGGGTCGATAAAACTTGTCTTCAATTCCTCAACAGCCTTTTTGAATTTTAGAGAAGATATCATACACAATTCTCACACAATATTTGTCACCCTTAGAGACAAATCTGTTTCTGTCACGATGACAGTATGTAAGAGCATTTATACGGTTGTTTGATTGGATCCTAGCCATAAGGGATATTTTTAGGATTGATTTTTCGGAAAAGTTTATATGAAAATGAAAAAGTAGAAAGGTAAAGACCTTTTTGCGGAAAATTAATCTCTTCAAAAAATATCTCCCCTGTTTATTTTAAACGAAGTTTCCATATCTCTTCAGGTGACATAAAGTCGTTATCTTGTGCAATGAATGAGTGTTTTTGACTTCAAGTTTAAACAGGTGCTAACGAGGAGCTGAAGATAAAAGTTTTTGAACCAAAACTTCGAGAATTACACCTCAAGATTGATAGATTTCTATCAGAGTGATATTTCAAATTAAAGGTCTTTCATATAGTATATTGTGTAGCGTTCCTGTGAATAATATATGTTACAATTCCATAACGAATGCTTGGAGTACAAACTGAATGGGAAGTTTGCCACATTTTTTTATGAAGATGCTTACTTCTCCAACGTTTTTATAACTGTATTTTTGAAATGAGTTGACAAGTTTCGATAACAATCAACGAATAATTACCAAAAAAAAAACTAGAATAGATTTAAATATATACACACACCTTGTCTATGGTCAAAATATATAACACTCACATATCATCTCAGGTCAAACACATTTCAGACATATTTGCAACACACACTTTATTAATAGAAGAGATGGTTTGTAAGGAAAGTATATAACACCTATTTAACATGTCTGTTCATGATTGTTGCTCCTCATTGAATACATTGAGTGTTCATAATAAAAATCAGAGAAGCATATGATATGACTTATGAATAGACTATCAAAAGTTATCAACGATTTAAATGTTCAGATATAGAATATATAGATAAAATATTTACAGTGAGTCAACAAACTTGGTGCATTAAGGTTTACGATGAAACGTTTTAATTATCACAGAATGAGAAAATTGGCATTTTTGAGTTCACTATAGAACTTGTTTATTTTGAAACACATCTACAAATGACTACAAATGTAACCAGTGTTTTTGGGGCATCTGTGACACTAACTGCAATTGGGCATTTGTTTTATAAAATCATGAAAACTAAAAGTGAATTGGTATGACATGGTAACCAATTTAACTAGATTGTTCAATTACCAGACAAATTAATCAGGAGTCACTAATCTGCACTTATATGCATTTTCTGCTACCATTGTTTGTGTTTCCTATTTCAACTCAAGTGAAAATAAAGTCTAAGCAATTGATTGGGGACAGGCTACAATAATTAAATTATTGAATATGATAATTGAATTTGACATAATTGGTATGAATAATTTAATAATTAGAAAAGATGATATAGTTTATAAATATTTTTTGTATTTGATTGGCACAATAATTGCACTATAATTTGTTGAATTAAAAGGTCCGTCAGTGTTTTATAAGAAAAAGATCAGAAAATGTTCTACGAAATGTGAAAGAGATTCTTTTATAGTCTTACATTTCATTCTCAGGTCATTTATGACAAATACTTTTCCCAACATCATCCAACTTTTTCTTTATACATCCAGTTATAGGCGACAGTAAGAGGTAACCGTAATATTAGTGAAACAGCGACTACTTGAATTTAATAATTTCCAATCTGTGAATTTTCAACAACATCCACTACTTCTGAATAATGGGTTATTTCCACAACAATCACCTATTCATCCACACAAAGCATTGAAAATAAAAAAGAAAATCTTATCACAATTTCATAGAACAGGAAAATTTTCCTTAAAATCAAATTTTTTTCAATGTAGTAAGGCAAGAGGCCGAAACCCGTAGTTTGAGATAGATATTACCGCGGCCGCTTTCAATCATTGGATATGAACATCGAAAATGACTAATAAAGCCATTGAATTATGTACTACACAAATAGATACGTACATACTGTCGAGGCACTGTGATTAAGGCAATCCTACAGTAGTTCAGTGGAGATAGGGTCATCGCGACGGCCGTATGCAGGTACGCGTACGCGGAAGTGCCGGGACTATTGATTTTCCCGGACAAACATATACTACCCCTCAATGGCGATGCAACAATCAGTAATACCGAAAATACCTGACATGAGCCTCACTGAAAAGATAAGAAATAAGATGTTTCACGATAATAGTGCAAACAGTTTTTGTGAACACAGGATGCAGTTGATTTTACATGAAAAGCACTAGAAAACGATTTATTGAATTGAGTTATGCTACAATCTGAAAATTCAATTATCATTATTTTTCCGAAATCATTCAACTCTTCTTTATATTTTTGAAAAACCAACCAGACATCCGATGGATATCTGTTGGACGTCCAATTTATGTCCAAATATATCTTATAGATGAATATACAATAAAGGATAGCCATTACAAATCCACTGAGGGATATCTTATGTCACGTTCAAGGATATTCCAATCTGAATAAATAACTCAATTCACGTCAATTTCTCTAATATCACTGGGTGTTGCATTTTCAAAGAGAAGCGAAGTACCTATAATAAACTTTTATACTATGTGCAAGGTTTGTGCACACAACAGTAGTAAAATATATTATGTATATATAATAAAATTTATGATTTATATTTATATAAGTTACTTTGTGTAGGTCAATATACAGAATAGATGTACTCTGAAATCACAAACAAATTGAAAAGGCTACAGCAATGAACACTATAGGTTCCTTGGGAAGCAGTACTTTACCAAAAAATTTCGGTATGTTCCAGTCATACCTTTGTTAACAGCCAGTGGGCAGAGTACATTTGATCATGACATAAAAGAATCAGATTAGCACATCATATCGAAGAAAAAACAAAAACGTGTCACTTCACAAGAGTAAGCCGTTAGGCAAATATACTGAAGAAAGAGAATACCAAAATTGTTATTTCATCACGAAAATTATTTGTTGATAACTGAATCATTCTTTATGATATTAATACATATATATTATGAACTCTTTTGTTTTTTCTGACATGACTGCTTTCTACTGCACAATCAGGTTGGGAAAAGCACCAATACGACACAATACAATGATGATATATAACAAGAAGTGTCCTGCATAGTTCAATGTTAATGGATGCTCGCTAAAATAACAAGTGTACATTTTAAACAATTTACTATTTCTCTAAAAACATTTATAAAAAAGACACTAATAATAACATGAAAATAATGGCACTATAATATATATGTATGTTTTTTCAGATGGAAACAAAATGTTGGTGTCAGCATATATTCATATAACATACGTATGTATAAACGGTGAAAATATAATTATATAACGTACATATTCCAATCTGTATGCATTGACACACGTATATAAAGTACGAACAATTAAACCAAACACTTTTGTCTTTTCATCTGAAATCAAATTGACAACAGTTTTCTGTATCAATTAACTTCAACGGTCCAATACAGTATAACCTTACTAAATGTAGGGTCATTTGAAAGCAAAATCAATGGATAACTCTTGAAATGGATTTCTGTGCTCTAATTGTTAACGTAACTAGGAATATAAAGACAGAAGGAGAAAGTGTTATCATGGTTTAACAATATATAACCATATCCACAGTGCAAATGAAACTTTGGTTTTACAGTGACTAGTTTTGCACGTTGAAAGTTCGAAAGTAGTCGTTGCATTTGTGAAGCCAAAAGTCATCCCGAAAAACCTGAAAGTGACCAATCAAAGAAACCCAGAAAAGCAAAACTGTTATCAACTTATTTTAGAAGAACTGCTGAATGTTTTACTGATCTTATTTTATAGCAGAGTACTTCATTTTATGATTTTAACCACATCACACGCACCACACTAACCGTCCTAATAAAAATCTTACGCTCTCCCTCTAAAAAATTATCTCCTCACTAAAATTGTTAAAATAATCAGTTCAGTAATATTAATAATTGCTCTACAAAACGCGTAGTTTATCACATGGATGACAATTGGCAATTGAAACAGAAACACGTTAGTTCTATTCATCCACACTTAAATGTATCACTATGGCACTTAGTGTACTGTGCAGGTGAGAGCGAGACCTCTGGAAGGAGGGTGAACTCCTCTAGGACGGCCAATCAGTAAGCCTGGCCCGTTTGTGCATTTGCACCGTGTCCCCATACTCGGCCCCACTGCTGGGTCCTGTAGGCGAAGGGAGGTTCGTGGGAGTGACGCTCCCAGGAGAAGGCGTGATGTGACCTGCAGAACTAGGTCGTGGGTGATGACTGTGTGTCAAATTCAGCGTCTGAACGTGCGAGTGGTGGACGGCTGTGCTGAGGTGGGGGTGGTGTTCTCTGGGTGGTGATATCGGCTCACTTTTTATTTTGACAGGGATCGGTGATGATGACGTCGGCGGTGGAGTGCTGCTAGAGACTGCCAGGTGCGGTAAGCATGTGTTGCTGTGAGACAGTGATGTCGGTATCTGATGGCCCCAGGTCATTGACGCTAGTCCAATGTCGGACCCCATGCTGAAGTCCTGAGCACCAAATGATGTCAGTGCGCCTGGGTAGTTGGAGAGGCCGGGAGTCTGCAACGCCACAACGGGAGTGTTAAGAGTTGATTGAATTCGATTATGCTGTAACAAAAACTAGTTTCACATAAAACTACCAATTCTACGATCACCTTTTCTCGAATCTACCTTGGGAAGAAAATGAATAGAAATGTTCTCATTTCTGCCTGTTTGGTTCTAGAAGTGTCATCTTGTAGAATCACTGCAATGAATTGATTTATGCATCCCCAATTAAACTGTTTCATATGTAGAATACCAATGAAACAATATATGTATAATACCACTGCAATATATGTACACTGAATTTTATATTACCAACTTGAATGATTTATTTTATCAACAGTAACCTAGAAAATTATATTTTAAATTGTGTGTTCAATTTTTTTCTGTTGCAGCTCTTTTATATTTTCAGAGAAGAAATTGAGTCATTTATAAAACTTAAACTAACTGGAATATTATGTTCAATTAATCACTTTCACATCGAGATTTTTTTCCCTATGTAGCTCATAAACCAGTGATAAGACACACCTCACATGTCATATTATCTATCCTACATACATATTGAAGCATCATTAATTCTTTGCTTACTTTGAGCTATTTGAGAGTTTATCCAAAAAAGTTGTTTTTAAAATTTTCTCAATACAAATTATTTTTTCTGACATAGTAATACTTGTGAAAGATGTGAACTCATCAATTAGAAATATCTTTTAGGGAAAACCTTGGGAAAGTAGCTCAAGATTGATACTACACCACAATTCATTTTTTTAATATCCAAATATGAATAGACCAAAAGACTTGAGGGAATTGAGACCAAACAATTAGTCTGATTTTTGTTGCTTTTAGGCACTCTGTATTTATTGTTACTTGAATTGTTTCTTGCTAACTGAGTGTGAGTTAACTCATCCTAATAAAATTTATAGAAGAAATCAATGGAACACTTTTGCGGATATTAACAATAGTAATGTATTTATTAAATTGATAGAAAGTTATTTTCATTATTATAAGGCAGTTAGAGTAAATAAATAAACATTGGTAAATAATATATTCACTATTTTTTGAAGTCTTGATATGATTAGTAGGTATCCAACGGTTTTTGATAAGTTCCTAAGACACATTGGAGAGATAACTCAAAAGTGTCCTTTAGTTGCAACAATAGTATACTTTGTTTTTTCTCAGCATGTACAACTTGAGTGAGAGACATATCTAAGAGATAACTTAGTTGTTTTTAAAATACCTCTTTTTTAGAGCTGAGAGAAAAAAAATCATCAGGAAAATATAGACGGACATTCCGTATCCAGAACTGATTTTTCAAATAAGGATTTAAATTCACTTCACGAGTAATAACAATGCAATGATATGAAACAGTCCCTAATGGCGACAATCCAGAGGTTCTTCAATGTAAAATACATCAGAACTGTTCACAAACTGTAGTGTCCAGTATCACTCATACAATTTATCATGAGAATTATCATTTTACTAATCAGACATTTCAACATTACAACTTTCAACTCACTTCTGTATATGAAACCTCTTCTGTCGTAATACTTGTGCCTAAAGGTGTCGGTATAACTACTCGTAGATTAGATCGTGGTCCGGGAGAGTGCTGCTTGGGATGCTGTTTGGATGAACTGAGGCCCGGTCCTGGGCTGGGACCGGGCGATGGGGAGCCCCCCATCGGAGACGCCGAATTTGGATAGCCGTTACTCATTTCCAACATTCCTCCGCTCGGATAGACCGAGTCGGTTTCGGAGGAAGACGGCCGGGGGCTGATACTAGTGTGCGCCATCTGTGGACTAGATTGGAGAAGACCCGATTCGCTGTAGCTTATGTTCACTGGTACCGATACTGGTTGAGAGTAGTTGGAAGAACTCATACTTCCCTAAAATAAACACCCATAATGATAGTAATAATAATAATAATAATAATAATAATAATAATGAATTTACTTTATTTCATGAGATTAACTCATTAAGAAAGTTTGACCAATAGGGTCCCAATTATAATATGTGATAAAAAGTCTCGGGCATAACACATAGATAGCGCTACTCTTATTGCATTTACCGCTTTTTTAGTTAGTACTAACCTGTTGACATTTCATGAGATTTCACTCATAAGTTTGTGAGTTATGGTGCTAAGAGTAACACTACTTTTGTTATTTTCAAAAGAATGGACCAAAAACAATTTTGTGTTTTAATTTTACATTGCTTTTTGATGGGGAAAAATACAGTTCAAAAGCAAAGAAATGACTTGAAAAATATTATGAGGACTCCGCTCCATCAGAAACAACAATAAAGTGTTGGTTTGCTAACTTTAACGTGGTCATAGAGACACCGATGAGGCAGTTACACCAAAATCACTTTGAATGATCGAAAAGTGAGTTAGCTGACATTGTGAAAACATCAAAAGTACGTGTTAGTTTTATATTTCATGAGCATTTGACTATGAGAAAGCTCTGTTCGAAGTGGATTCATCACTTCACTCTGGAATCAAAACGATCGTCATCTGACTGGAGAGCAACTGGTGAACCTCATCCAAAGCTCCCGAAAGCACAACAATCGGGTGGAAAGGTCATGTTGGGATACCACCAACAGTGAATATTATATAGCGTTATTGGAGCGTTTGAAGGCCGACATTGCAAGTTGATCAAAACAATGGCAAAACTACATGATTGGAACTTCGAATTGCTCCCAGATCCACCGTATTCGCCAGATTTGGCTACCAGCGACTACTGACTATTCACAGACCTCAAAAAATACTCACGGGTAAGAAATTCGCTCGAATGAAGAGGTTATTGCTGAAACTTAGGCCTGTTCTGAGGCAAAAAAAACGTTCTACAAAAGTAGTATTGAAATGTTAGAGCGGCGCTGGAATGATTAGTTGGCTCTTGATGGAGATTACGTTGATGAATAAAGCCAATTATGAGAAAAAAACGCGTTTTCTTTCTTAGGTCCGGGACCTTTCAGCCAAGATGTTACAAATCAATATTAAAAAAAACATAATCTTGTAGAATATCTAAGGTTATCTATCGACAAGAAATTTTTTTACAGAACTTCTCAACAATAAACTTTATTTTCACTGGCAGAAGATTATTATTGCCCCACAATGAAATATTGAATCTTTAACTAAAGTTGAAGAGGGAATGGAGAGACTCAAACTAAACTCGCAAATTTTCAAATGTTTGGATCACAAAAGGCAAATAATTATATGGACATCCCAAATTGTGTCCAGAAGAATATGACATACGTCCAGCAGGAGACGTGTTCTGACTAGTACAGGGATCAAGATTTTCGGAATGGGTGTCACGAAAAAGGTGAGAGAAAACGTAATAAGCCTTGGGAGAAAGGGACAAGTTAGACGGCTCCCAGGAAGCGGAAAAATAACGTGCTATTTCGAATGTGATAAGGAGTGGTAGGTAAATATAATTTTGCTTTATGTTTGTTCACTGATAATACTTTTACCCTATTGAAATTCCAATAAATTTTATCCTATTAAAAAATCGATAATATGATGGATGATGATGGAATAAAATCAGTGTCTCCATAACAGAAGTATATTTGTAAAAGTCCTTGGACAGGTTGATATTATTTTTGAAAATACATTTTTTTACATAATGAAAAGGGGAATCGAGACTCAATAGGTCTTTCTCTTAAATTTTCAATATTTTGAATAACTATTATCTTTTTCGATTTTGAAGTAACGGAATTTGTCTCTTCATCCGAAGCGATACTTTTGCAATAAGTAGTCCGACGACCAACTCATTTCAACTCCGAGTTAATTGCTAATAAGTGCTGAAGAACAACCCAGCATGCCAAAATTTTGAAACTACATATCTACTAAGTAGGACTAGGACCAATACTTTTTTCTACCTAGATTGTTGTTTCAACTCTCGTGATTCATCATCATGTGTTTCTGAGGTCACTGAGGTTTCATACAAACATGAAAACTCTTGGGGAAGCAATTTTATAGTAAAACACGTGTTGCGGTTTTGTTAACTCTACAGTGAAAACCTCACAATAAAGTGTTACTTGAATACCCCCTCGGATACCTTCTCCATCAATCCTGGTGTTCTTCAATGATCTATATTGTCTCCAAACCTTTGCATACCATTAATCTATGACTAATAGAAAAGAAACGCAATATTTTGCTGTGTTGACGACAGTACTTTGTCTCTTCTTTTTGCTTAGATGTCCGAGTCATCCGCCTGATTGGCCGATGATTCTTAAACATCACAAGCAGCCCTGTTGGTCCGGGTTTTGCTGTGGTCTTCCTTGACTGCAAACTTTTCAACTGCAACTGCGGCAGTCATCTTCATTGGCGTGGTCAAAGTACTGTTCTGGACGTATCATTTGAAACTGAAGCTCTCATTTCTGCCATGTTATTTATAGTGCTGATTTTTCGCACACTTTATGTAATGGCGGGTTCGCGCGTACTTCCCGCGCGATTTGGGTGACATGGCTTCGTTTTGTCGCTTTTCAATGCTGTGTGCCAGATCTTTGGTAGATATGTTCTCTCTTCCTTTCTGTTGAAGTCCACTTGGTGTTTGTATATTTCTATGGTTCCTAAATACATTCTTGTTCAATAATGATTCGAAGTTGCTAGCCCCTCGGCATTTTCGAACAGGATCTTGTATTTTCCGTCGCGTTTGTGTTTGTGAAGCACAAGTCGTACAGTAGATTTTGTGTTAGTAGTAGATTGATACAAAACAAATTATATTTTATATATAAATAGTAATTTTCATCATTTAGTCATTTGATAATTACTATAGAAAAAAAACTCAGTCATCAGTAAATTTCAGGTTTCGAATAGTAGAACAGTAGCTCGAGAGCTAAAACAGGAGAAGTATCGGAAAAATAGTAGACCTGGCAACGCTGAACACGGCGCTCCTCTCGTGTGATTTCATCTTCATTTGAAGTAGTTTGATTCGCAATATTCCGTAGTATAATTGCATTACGGTTTCGTTGTGGAAGATTCGATGGATATATGACATAAAAATGATTCATGCGCGTACAATCACAAATTTCATAACCTCAATTGTTTTTGCGCGCACCGTTACAGACCGAACTTAATTTTTAAAATGTCATAAGATCGACAAAAACTTACTCTTTGTCCGTTTATCTGGTTCCTTTGTAGCATCATTTGAAAATCCTCATCAATCTTGCTGTATTTGGCCTCGGTGCGGGGAGTCAACTGATACTCGGTTTCTGGTTCAGGACTGTCGGGACTCATCACTCCGTTTTTATGCTCCTTCTTATTGAGTGCCTGCAAGTGTCAGTGGACCAGCTCATGGAGTAATGCATTTGGGCCACATACACACACCACACATCCATCCATTGCATAATTGCCGTTTGTGACGAGTTTATAATTGTACAGGACGTGTTGAAAAAATGTTTCACGCTGCGTTTTATCAATCATCTGGTAGGTAAGTAGTAACATTTCAACAAAAGTAGTAGGAGTATAATGCTTCTATATGCAAAATTGTGAATTCAAATCAAGAAATTCACTGTAGTGCTCACCCAAAAATTGAGGCGTTAGTTTTTAAATTTTATGAAGAGCCAGTTTAGCCTAAATTTGAATTGCTTTGGGTGTCTAAAATATATCAATAAATTTTCAGTTTTGCATATCCCAGTGGCTTTTTTTCTTATTTTTTTTAATTACTCGTCACAAATTCGGCTTCATCTACCACACAACAAGCAGTCTAAAAGGTTAGGGTATCGAAACTGAAGCAACAACTCGTGTGAATAACAGGCAGTGCAACAAATCGATAACGTAAGCACAAAAATAATAACAAAAACTTAAAACAGCGTTAATGATTAAAATAGTAATAGTTAGTCGTAAGTTATCGAATTTGCATCAGCCGCGTATTGGGCAAGTTGCTGCTGGATTTGATGTACCTCGATAATATTTTTGTTGGTCAGTGACTCGTGCGGTTCGTTGTATTCTGTATACTTAAGTAGAACTTTGTCCATGTCCGTGCTGGCATACTGGTAGAGCTTGTTGCTGCTGCTAAAGATAATCAGAGCTATTTCGCAATCGCAGAGAACCGATAATTCGTACGCTTTCTTCATCACTCCGAACTTACGCTTGTTGAAAGTTACCTAGAACAAATTTACAATGTCAGTGAATGTATACAAAAGTAAACGATACTAGGGGTTAGATGGAACTGTCATTGTAAGAGAAATACACATTATTTTCCTGAAATATAAGAAACTCCCACCCATTTTGTTGGAAGATGTAATATTCACAAATGTAGGAAACTTTTATTTAGCCTGTAACATGCTAGGAACCGTACGTTAAGAGGTAAGACCTCGTTAATCCTCAGCTCGCACAAGTTTCGACTTCTGGGAGTTGTCGTTCGTAGGGGAGCGACAGCTGGTTAACGAAAAAACATATTTTAACTGAAACGTGTCAAAGCTTTGTTTCCAAGAAAGAGTAGAATTAGGAGGAATATGATAGTTGTTAACAAGCCAATCTGCTCAGGATTATGAAAAATGTGACCTACTTCCGAAGTACAACAATTACCTATTCATTAATTTGCATCAAATATTTTGGTGAATTCACAAATATACCGTATTCATGGATACAAGTTATTATGTTTTTGTCTTTATGTTTAATGAAATAAATACTCATAATCCTTTAATAGGTAGTGACTCAGAAGAGTTATTGTAAAGAGTATGAACTTTCACGGACGAAATTAACTATGTCAAAGATATGTTCCGGGTTTATTAACCGTGGTCTGCAGGTTGTTATGCCAGAAGTTTCGTCTACTATTGCGGTAGACAGAAGAGTTTTTCTATTTGGAGTTGCTATATCATTATTTTTCCTAGTTTTTGTCATCTCCGAGAGACATTATTTTGTTCTGGTGTAGGAAAAGAGTTTTTTAGTAGATTCATTTTACGCCAGAGGTCCAATTATAAGTCAAAGAACGAACCCACCTCAATATATTCAACAAATACCTGATATGGAGAAGGAAAATAAGAGAATGACTACTACTGCTGTTACTTCTAAAAAACAAGATTATTGTTTGTGACTATAATTTTCTTTCTATTTCAGTTTGAACCTTAAAAAATGAAAGACATTTGTATTACAGTACCTGAAGATTTGATTATCTATATTTATCATTTTAGACAGAATGTTTTTTATTTTCAAATCGTTTCTCTGATTTTCTTAGTAATTACGTTAAAGAAGTAATATGATTCTGGATTTAATGCATGGAAAATTTTGTGAGACTAATGTCACAAATATTTTGCGATATAATTGAAATTCCACAAATCGCAATAAATTTGATACGACCGGAATGATTACCGTAAACGAATAATAAATTAGGGTGATTTAATTACTTCACGCGATATTGCGAAACCAAAGTTGACGATAATCAACATTAGCAATGCATTTGTTTCTAACAGTGCTGCCAGTTGCCAGTTTGTTAGCGGATGATGATACCGTTTATAAATATCAACGTTGACATTTTTATTGAAAAACTGTCAATTTCAAAATCACAGACAATTCGAGGAGTAGTTCACTAACAAGTAGTATGATCCGTAAACAATTCATATCTTGAATAATTGAATTTTAAACATAAAAATATTTACTGGGAAGTCATGAAAAATATTAATAGTGGTGGCGTTGCCAAGTATCGACTGATGTTTCAACCCAGTGTGAAGAATCCGCTGCATTTTTTCATAATCTGGCAACTAGGCGAAAGTAAGACACGCCTTCAGCTGATCGTATATCGCAAGTAAATGGTATATTCGTTATTCAAGGACATTCAAATTGTGATGGTTTCAGCCAGCTTGAAATCTATTTATCCATAAACACGATAACTTATTTTAGGCAACGATAAAATTGAAAAAAACTGTAGTGAATTAAAAAAACAACTATTTTTGCTGAATAAAACTGAATAATGAAAGGTTAAAGGTGTAAAGAAACGAGTAGGTATAACATTTCTATAATAAATACATATTCGGTTTTTTAAATAAAAGTATTCACGCAAATATATCATCTAAAAGGCACGAGAAGAATATTTCAAATCCAAATACGTAAAACCGTGACACCAAAAATTACTGAAAAATTTTGTAAATCAACTATTTTCATTTGTAGATATATCAAAACATTATGTCACTGATAATATCAGCTTCCATGGATCTTTTTATTTATTCACAGCCTCTCACAATTGAGCACACATTTAATTGACTTTTCTGTATCCCTTTTTTATTTATGAATACCCAATATTATTATTTATCCCCCGAAGATTAAGCTGGTCGAGTTATTATTATTATTATCTAAGTGACCATCAGAAGGTTTCTTAAGTTCTAATGGCAACTATGGACCATCAACTTTTTTTACTGTATATCAATAATAATAATAATAATAAAAGTGCCTTTCTATGGCTACATCAACTTTTCTTCCAGAAATTCTCCCAACCAAAACAGTACATGATTTCAACCTCTCTTCATTAGGTCCCTTCATGGAAATCATTTTTGAGATGCCGGATATAATCGAAGTCATAAAAAGATCAACTCATTAACTATTATATAGACATCCTCTGCAACAACTGAAGAAGCACCTCAAAAATAATATTCGAAGTAGAAAACCTTTGGAACGCAACAATATTACCAGTGGGGGGACATACACTACTGAATGCCAGGATAAGCGACTACAGGAACACCCAACGTATGGAAACAAGCAAATCTGAAATAGTAGAGTATAGCTAAACCTACTAACTCACCAACAGTGGTTAACAGGTGTCATTCTTTTTGAAAACCCAATAATATTTCATTTTTTATTGTTCATGTTCATCAGTTTTCATTCATCATTTCAGATCCATACTTTTTGCAATGGAAATACGAACCTTATAAGGATTCTTACTTCTGGTCGAATGAAAGAGTGTTATTTTTTTCGAATCTCTAATACAAAAAGCTAAACAATCGGTGATAAAAAACACTTTTTAGTGAAAAATTACTGAGTTCGGAGAAATTTTCATAATTTCAAATCTGAACTGTTTTACGGTTATTATTATGTCCTTCGACCTGTTAAAAACACATGCAAAAAAGACAACGACTAATCACATAATCAATTTACTCCCAGCTTTATTATTGACGAAAAAAATTTCTGTCAATATCTCACTTAACATCTATCAACATAATCTCCTTTACTGGATTTTCCACTTGTCAAACTTAATTAAAAGAAGAACGGAAATGCACTTTTAACAATTTTCTAGACTCAATCGAAAGCCGTCAAACAACTTGTACAATCCATTTCCAAATGATATAATCCCGTCTGTTTTCATTGAGTCGAGTGATTATCGAATAAGAATTGTTTGTGACAGTATCTGTGCGAGACAGCAAAGTTGCCGTGAAAACTTGACGAACATGGGAAATGTTAACCTTGAGGCTGAAATAATAGAAAAAATGCTTTTCTACAATGTTTTGCAATTCATTGAATATCTTCATTCGTTAAAAAAATTCGGTCAAATCAGGTAATCTACAGAAATTCAGGTCTAAATCACACTTTACCTTGTTCTTTGGTAAAATATATAAAAAATTCACCGTCACTTTCGACTAAAGAGGTATTTTTATGCATTTTTTTATTATCTGTTCGAGGTTATCCATGATGCCTGTAACATTTCCTTCATATGACTTCGTAACTATTGAATTTATACTACTCATTCGCTCTCATTACTTGATCCATTTTGCCATGTCTAAATAAATTGCACTTAAACTGTTCTGATCATCGCAAATTATATTTCAGTCTATCCCTCACTTCTGATTATTTTTGGTATTTCAACAGTTGTATTTTGTCTTCGTTCAACACATTTCTCATTGACACATTTTTCTTTGACTTGTATGGAGTTTTAATGGATCTGATAGCTGAATTATTTCTATGGTATGATATAACAGAATCATGACTGGGCTTACAGTGGGTTGTTTTTTAATGATTGGTAGATTCACTGAAAACAGATGAATTTATAGCAGGTTGATATCATCTAATAGTTGCTCAATAACTGGCTGCTATGTATCGTTTTATGTGGATTAAATCATAAGGTTGAAATCAGCGAGATGCTGAATGATAGGCTACTGTTGAATAACACCAGATACGACATGAACGGTAACATTCGTACTCAGCTTCCTCATCAGTAGCAATGAAATCATCATCATGAAAAATGGCAGAGTAAAGCCCGAAACTAATTTTCATAAACACGCTACTCTTATGTAGTATTTGTTAAACAGTCTTAAATTGTCTTAGGATAGACAAACATATGCCAATTTTTGTGTAACTTTCCTTTGATGGGACAATAAAAAGTAACGTCAGGATTTTAGACGTGTGATGAATTTGGTGGAAAGATACGCATTACATGTTTCGATTCCTAAACTTTTAGATGATAGCAAAACTGGACGTTCAGCAGTATGTAAGATTTGATTGCAATTTCTATTGAATCTACTGTACAAACATTTTTTGAAGAAATGAGATCTCTTTAACCAATTAAAAAAATAAAATGATTAATCTATTGAAAATATATCAAAAACTGAATTATGAGTTAATAGGAGCCATATTGAAAACCAAACTTAAAAGCAAACAAATTTAGTTAGGTAATTAGCATGAACAGAATACAAGAAGCATGTACCTTCTGGCTGACAGTATACGGAATATTATGTAAGCGCAGAACGAAAAACCACCAATTGTGAGACAATGCGAAGCACTAACGAAAAGGTTTTACCCCACTCTCCCCTAACACAGAAAGTTCAATGTTCGCTAACATTTCAAAAGTATTGTCCGTTTTTATGAGTAATAATGATAATAATAATAATAATGGTGGAATTATGTCCTCTCTTCTCTCGAACCTTGAAATCATACCGGCTTGCCGCACTGAGGCAGAAATCTCAGCCGTACAGATGCAGAAGGCTGTCATTCTTGGCTCACTGCGCTTGCTCAGGGCACATGATTCTCGGACCCAACGATCACTTACCCCACGGTTGTGGGGAATGGTCATTGGTTGATAATGCTGACGCGCCCTCCCGAATGTATCGGGGCTTCGGGGGATAGGGCCTGACCAGCGCACAATACGGTGAAAAAAATGTGGGGACTACGGAGAGGATGTGCAGCTCGTAGATGGAAGCATCCTCAACCATCTGGATGCCGGAGAGACGTATACTTACCTCAGGGTGGAACAACGCCACTCACAAGAGGTAACAGCAGTGAAAAACTCTCTTCGCGGCAAGTATCAGCACAAACTTGACAGATCTGGTCATCGGAACTGTCGGGGAAGAACAAAGTTGCTGCAACAAATATTCTTGCCGTTCCAATCTTACTCTACTCGTTTGGAGTAGTGAAGTGTACTCGGGAGGAGCTGTATCAACTCGACGTAAAAACCCGAAAAATGATGCATCTCTATAGGAATTTGCATCCCAAATCATCCGTCCCACGGATGTACTTCCCCCGACAACAGGGAGAGGCCGTAAACTTTTGAGTTTGGAGTGTGTACATGACAAAATGGTACTGGATACAGCCTGTAAAGTCGTCAGGAGTTCGGATCCCCTTCTCTGCATGGTCCGTGACCATGAGAGAGCAGGAATTGGAGCATTTCTCTTCAGGGCAGCTGCCCGAGCATCTGATGAACTCGGTAAAGTTTTCGATACTAAACGAGGTGACCACAACTCTGTCACCGAGTTGGAACCCGTTCAGCAAAAAGCTCATATAAAAGCCGCAGAGATCACCTCACTTCTGCGGAAACACAAGGATAAGCCAATGCATGGAGTCTTCTTCAATAACATTAAAGACCTTGGGTTATCAAAGCGCCTGACTTTCGCTTGCCTCAGGTCGAGTGGGCTGAAGTCGGAAACTGAGGGGTTCATCATGGCTTGCCAGGGTGGTGTCTCCAACACCTTAGTCTACCGCAGTCGCGTGATGGGTATAGATGTTCCTGACACAAGGTAAAGGGCCTGCCGCGAGGCGCGCGAGACCCTAATGCACTTGCTATCAGCATGTCCAGCATATGCGGTCTCGGCCTATATCCATCGACATAACGCGGCCCTAAGAGTGCTATATTACCATCTACGACACTCTTACGGTATTGACGAGACACCGATGTTGCTCTACGCTCCAGGGGATATTGAATCCGTTGTGGGGAAAGAGACGTGCCAAATTCATTGGAACTATTCGTTCCCCACCCTCAGGCTCATACAAGCTAATACGCCTGATGTAGTCCTTCTCGACCATCAGAGCAAGACGATATTTGTCGTGGAGTCTTCAGCTCCTGGCGAGACAAATATCGTCCGAAAAGAGGAGGAAAAACGGATAAAATATCGAAATGTTCTCTTCGAACTCCGCAGACTCTATCCAGACCACTGTGTCAAGATGGTTGTTCTGATTATTGGAGTCCTTGGTGAAATGATGCCCTCTCTATTCTCGAATCTTAAAGTCATATCGGCTTGCCGCACTAAGGCAGAAATCTTAGCCGCACAGATGCAAAAGGCTGTCATTCTTGGCTCACTGCGCTTGCTCAGGGCACATGATTCTTAGACCCAATGATCACTTGCCCCACGGTGTGGGGAGTGGTCATTGGTTGATAATGCTGGTGCGCCCTCCCGAATGTATCGGGGCTTCGGGGGATAGGGCCTGACCAGCGCAAACTACGGTTGAAAAAAAAATAATAATCTACTTCAAACTGTGATATATCAGTGAATACTTATTCAATTTGGGAAAGAAATGTTTTGGCTTTCTACTTCTAAATCTTGATACAAAAAAAATGTGTAGCAATCCTGTGAATGATATCTGATTCAATTCCATAACGAATGTTTGGAATACAAACTGAGTAGACAAAAGTATCTTCTGTATAATTCAGTGTTCATATAAAAGTATTTGTTTCATGAATGAATTGTGTGTATTTTCTATAATGTTATCCAATTTGGTAATGAAGAGCCTAGGGGCAAGTGTCTTAAGGCCAAACATTGGTGTATACCAGTGAGGGTGACAGTGTTCCATGTAAGTGCAATTTATTACCATTCATTCAATGTAGAGCTCATGTGAATGATATCTGATTTTCATTCCACAACGAATGTTTGAAATACAAACTGAGTGAAGTATCTTCTGTATAATTCAGTGTTCATATAGAAGTATTTGTTTCGAAAGAATTTTTTTCTCTCGTGTAATTCAATGTTTATATGAAAGTAGCTGTTTCAGGAGGACTTTCTTTCAGTTTGTGTCTGGAAGTTACTTCTTTGCATGATCTACACATCCATGTATAGAGTTACTTATTTTCAAATTGATTACTTTCTTCCTTTCTTTGGAAGATTCCCTCATCCCTTTTTTTGTATCAAGATGGAGTAGTAGAAAGCCAAAAACTTTCTTTCCCAAAAATTAATCACTCCTAAAAATATAACCCCTTCAATTCAAATCTAATAATATACAGTTACAGTATTTGGCGAACGACTGACAGTTTGTTTCATTAAAAAAATGTGATATGAGTATCATTGTTAAAAAGCAGAGTTTAGAAGATTTACAAGAAATTTGAAAGATCAAGTAAGATCTAGAATAATTGGTGACCAAACTAATCTATGAAAGTTACTGGCGACTGGACCCGGCTTCGCATTGATAGATATGCCGTGATTTTTTCAGTCACATCATCTTGTTCGTTTCCGTTTTTACCTAAAGGTCAATATTGTGATGCCCCAAGATGCTATTGTACAGCAAAACACGTGTCGCGGTTTTGTCAACTTTCAAGTGGAAATCTCACATCAAAGTGTTTTTTTTTTTTGATACGCGATATAATTGATTTCCATCAAGTATAGATTCCATCATATTGCAAAATGAATATTTCAAGTACTGTACTGTTAAAATTGTGTCATGAGAGATAGTATTAGATGGAAAGGTATATTTTATTTTGACAGTAACATTGAGTAATGAGTATTGCAAAAATGTATCACACAAGGGAGCTTTATTGAAACATTTGAAATGGGGGTTGTTAATAACTTTTTTCATTTTCGAAATTTTCCCAAGGACAGCGTTTAATGTTGACACCATATACACACAAATTACATTATAGGCAGCGTAATTCTGGGCCTTAAAAGCCCTCAACATCCCTGTCAATTTTCAAGTTATTGTCAGTTCATTTTAACTTTTATACTGCATATAATGTTAGGTATAACTGAATATATTTTCCAATAAAGATGAACTCATTTTCATGCCTCACAAACTGATTTATTAGTGAATATTTACTACAAAATAAATGTATAATTCTTTCAACCATCCTCTACCGTTTCATCATTATTGTGCTTGTGAAGTAAAAGGATCATGCTGAAAGACCATCTGTTTGTAACATGTTTGAGGAATTCAACGATTTATTATTTATGCACTCTAGTTAAGAACTGTTGAGAAGTTGTCATTTTTGGAGTTTTCACAGTAATATCTAAGTAGCTATACTAGTAGTACATGTTCGATGTGGTTACAATTATTATATCATCAAAACGAAAAAATTATGAAAAAAAAAGGCCAGGCTACCAAAACATAGTTTTACACTGATAAAACGCTTCTCCCCATCAGCGATAAAACTGACATCAATGAAATTGACAGCTATGAAATTAACATACAGGTGTCACTATTCTTGAATCATACATGACTCTCAGGACATAGTTATGCATTATTCTCACACTCTCAATCACTGTCACGGTCCTGATCAAATTGAGCCAAAGAAATCAATATTCAAATATGATGTGACTGAATATTAAATTTTGCGTAAATGCTTCTACATAAATACACAAGTTTAATTTGGTATTATGATAACGACAGCGACTAGACTCTAACCTCACTGGGACAATTCATAAGAATATGTAAATCAAATAAAACTCACCAATACAATGAACAGATATAAGAGACTGAAATGAAAAACAAATTGCACACTTCACTGATTCACATAACCTCACGAAAATAAGACAACAATCCTCCATTACAAACTCCACCGAGAATTCCAACAATTTATATATGATATTCAAAAATCTCAATATCTGAATCAAATACCAACTAAAAGCAATGAGATGTCATCTCATTCTTATTGCAACGGTAGCTATATTCAAGAATGTCTGTTAGTGTCAATGTCAATATCAAGAATGTCAATGGAATGTTAATAGTGCATCAACGGAAGATAGCGAAATCTGCGTTTATTCTTATATTACAAGCATCGAATTGTAAACAAACGAAACGAACGAATATTGTAAGCAAACAAATAAAACATGTTTGATAAACACCATGCTAATAACTTCACAACGCACAATCTGATGCTGTATATGTCAAAGTGACTTGTCAAGTTTCTTGCACATCGTTAAATAAGTGTTTGAAATGATTTGGCAGATTTTCCTTTTATCATTTTTTCTCAATATCTCCTGCTTCAAAATTAAAAAAATTGAGGGGTTGATAACAGAAAACAATGACCTTACAAACGACCCCTTATCGTTTTCGATATTCAAGGGTTGGATCTCACGTCACAGGGGGATGGAAGTGACAATGTTGGAAATATGCATAAAACATTTCCCTTCAAAATGAAAATCATCGGGTGTAAGCATTTTTTTTTCAAAAGTCAACTACAAACGAAAAACCGACTGTTTAGTATTCATTAGCCCGTCCTCAATAACTTCACTGCTGAACTGTTAATCAGTCAATTCTATGGATTCGTTGGATATTTCTTACCTGCCGATTCCGTTCGTCGGTGATTCTTGATATTTGTATTTTTTTGCGACCCATGGCAGCAATTTTGAACCGCTAATTTGAGAACCCGTAGCGAGTAGACAGCTTGCTGGTCGCTAGAAGCGATGAAGGATCTGCCTCTTAGCGTCGTTGTCACTTTTCAATGTTCTGAAACAAAAAAAAAGATCTTAGAAAATTACTTCCGTATGGTTAGCGTAAGTAGTTAGTTCTACTCATTGAATTAATCGCTATTGTGAATGCGGAATCGATCTATACTCTAGAACGATGTGTGTTTATTGCATATCGTCTGACCCGTGCTAGGTGGATGGGTAGTTCCCAAGTCAATGAGTCTCTTCAACCCTCAACTACAATCCGCGACGGTTCATCGTGGCTTGCACCTATTCAAATTTGATCAACTAAGTTCAGCTTCCTAACGAAGCTGATTAACTTACTCGGTAAGTGATCTTTCAAATTGAATGACATGAGTGAGACTCTGCAAAACAGTGAAAATCTGATTCAGTCCGCGGTGGCTGGCTGACTGTCTTCCGACATTCCAAATGTTCTAATGTGATAGTTCGAATGATGTGAAATAATGGTCTTTTTTGATAGTTCACTACCATCTTACTCACGACGTTACTCAGTGCATGAGAGCCGAGTTCTTTCAGAATATTTTTATTCATCTATGCGTGTGGTACGTACATCTCCGCTTGAATTATGATCGCATAGATCCGTAGGAAGGTAGAAATCTCTCTCCTCGGTTTGGACTGTATAGACCTGTACCAGAACCCGAAGGTGATTTTAATCCGCCGGTAAACCATCTATTATTAAGTATTTTCTCATCCCAGAGAGACCAGTCCCCTCCACTCTGGATTAGGACTTTATAAGACAGGTCGAAGTTGACAGTTGCATCAGGTCGTCGTTCCCAGAATGGCGTGACTTTCAGTGTCAGCCGGTACTCTGCTACATTTCGCATGAGTCTGTTTTGGGAAATTGTCAATATGCATAATTCTGCATATTGTCCATCTAGCCTGTCTCTCTAGAAAGATATGGAGAAGAGGTAGATCCAGGAATTCCATGGCCACTTACGGAGTGACGTTAAAGACACCGGTACCAGACACGCAAGCCTATTTCTGTACACCAGAGAGCATCGCCTGATGTACAGGCAATAGCTCCATTGGCAAACTCATCATACATATCCAATGGATTTGTTTGGTGTCATCTGTGCTAGGAATCTCACGTTGAAAGGTAAGATCTCATTAAATGTAAGTACAAGTTTCAAGTTTTGAGGATTGCCGTTTATATGAGAACGACATCTGATTAACAGAAAAAACTATTTAATTGACCACATTATTGCAAATTTAGGTTTTGTTGCCAAGACGGAAGACGAAACCATTGAAGAGTTCTCTTGAGAGAATGAACAACCACTATAGGAAAATTTTCAAGGTATGGCGATGAATATGTCAAAATGCTAAATTTACGTTGACCTAGATCGCGATAAATTATATTTGTTATGAAACATGGTCTCGTGAATGCTACACACCAATTCTATTTCATATATAAAAGGGTTTTTTATTCTATTTTCTAGTATGTCAGAGTTATTTGTCATGTCGAATCACCAGTATGAGTAATAATTTTTCAAGATTCCAGAGGATTTTACACTACCAAAATTGAAAATATCTTTTCTAATGCAATTATAATTTGTTTTTGTGAAATATACGGCGATATTTCAGAAGTTCATACTCATAACAAACACCGAGTCATACGTTTATTGACTATTACTGTGTAGCCAAAACATTTCTTTATGTTGACGCAGAATGCATTCACGATTTTGAAATTGGATATTTAGTGAACCATGTGTCATAACTTTGTACGGTTTCATACCTTTGTTCTCGAAGCACCAGTCAGTACATCTTTACTGGTGGTCTAAGGGAGGCTGAAATTTTTGATGATCAGTATGAATCTTTCAAGAAATGTTGTTCTTCAGCGGAGTATCTGAATTTATCAACATTTTTTACCAAAAATCATTCAAATAACGTGTAAATCAATTTTATAGAATCAACATTATCTAAATGTAATTTTGGGAGTACTTTTATAGCTGACATACATGGGTTTTCACTTCCTCAAAAACAAAGTTCGAAAAAACTTATCAAATATGCATGGAAAACAACCGAATTTGCGTTTGTTACTGCCCAACACAAATTTTGGTGTACATATTCACAACAGACACTATATCTTTCCTCCACATTCATATTTTTTTAAACTTGATTTTAGAGGATTGAAAAATCATGAATGTCACTGCAGTGACAAATTGCTAAAGAGTATGAAGATTTAATTGACACATAATGTAAAAACTTCCATTTTGCATAGTTATCTCTGAATTACATTCAATATAATCCAAGTACATAGAACGGAAAACAATAAAGTTACAATGCACAAAAATAATCCCAAACTACATACAGTACACGCCACGGCTGATGGCGAGCAATCGCACAGGTATAGACTCTCCCGACGAAATTACCATTAGATTACGATAAACCCCTTGTCGGCCAGTGTCTTACCTACAAGTAGTTTTAATTAGGGTAGCAAATAGAACATAGGTTTCTTCAGAAAAAACAAAGTGGAAGTAGCATTCAGACCACATGCCAGGTTATCTCATTTTCTTTTCAATGCCAAAGATAAGGTCGACAAGTTGGAAAAAGCTGGAGTTTATAAGCTTAAGTGTCCGGAGTATAATAGTGTTTATGTGGGACAATGCGGACGAAATTTCCAAAAACGGTATGCTGAACATGAAAGGTCCTTCAGACTGGGAAAAAATGATTCGACGTTTTCAAACCATTCCTTGGCATGCAACCACAAGTTTCCGAATCTAAACGATACGGAAACTCAATTATTTAGAATCCTTGGAAATTCACAAGCATAAACATTGCGGGTGCAACCTGTTAAATGATCAAATCGATTTAATTTACTCTCCGGTTTTTAAATTGGCACATGCGCATTGTGAACTGTAAATTCAGCTACTCAATAAAGTACCTGAATGGTATATATTAGGGAATTAAATTATTCTTAGTTTATTGTTTAAATTTGAAAATGTCCATATAGGATGAAACTGCAGTAACGTTAGTTACAAATAAAAGTGGTAAAAAACATAGAAATTTTCATTTCTCTTTTCATCTTAACGAATTTTCATATCTATATTCATGTCACTAGCCAGTATCACTTTGTTTTGGAATTCTATCGTACCGAATAACAGGTCAAATTCATCATAATCTAATGCCTCAATACGCAAATTTGTAGCAGTTGAACAAATACCTAGTAGTATCCAATGGATTAGTATAAATAACTAATATAGAATAAACGTGAACTCTGGTATTCCACAGTGTATTCACCATGGTCCATGATTATTCAATAGTTTTGATGATGATTTTAAAAGTCAAGAAACACGACTCAAGCGGTTATTGTTCGCCGATGATTTCAATGATGTTTCCTCTAATTTGCAAAAGTCTTTGCACTTTAGTATTAATTTGTTTTTGTCAAATTGCCTCTCCAACCCTATCTATTATGTAAAAAAACATATTATATTATCACTTTTATGTTCTTTGTGAATCTGTTTACACGAGAGCTTGGTAAGCATGATATTTTATTTTGAGAAATTAATGTAACGCATTGTACTTCATTGCTCATGTATCAGGACGTTATTACGAACAACGACACGATCGCCTGAAAAAGAATGAAATCGGAGAACCACGTCAAAACTGTATAGTACCTGAACAGTTCGTCTGTCGGCTCATCGCCTTTGATAAAAACTACTGCAGTCGTAGGCGAAACATCGGGCATAAAACCTGCAGATTACGCCCAACAAACCCGAAAATTAGCTTTGACACAGTGGTTGAGTTTCGTCTCATCTCATTTGGACTTTTTCAAAATCTAGAAATTCCTATTTTTGCAAGCAAAAATGACTAGGGTTGCTATTCTTGGTAAATCCAGTGTAGAGATTCTAGTTTTGATTCATTAATTGCATAAGTTCGTTAATTCGTTTTCGTTCCATATTCCATTTTTAGTATTGCATTTGGTAGATATGTAGATGATATTCGAGATGGTGCATTTAAAGTACCCATGGATACCAGAAACCTTGTTGATAACAAATGATAACCGAACCTTTTCCAGTGACTGGTATCAGAAATGTAGCAGAAGGAAGTGCGAAAATGAAAAATTACTTGAGATTATTATACATGACTAGAATGAAATAATACAAATATAATTTTCGGGAATGTTACTTGAGGGAAGGCAGCACCCCATATCGTGCAGATATATATCAAGAAGAATATAATCCTTAGGATATATATTAACCGTTATAAGAACGATATGAACAGACATACAGGTATATACTGCGTTAACAAACTTCAATAGAGCCAAATTTGTGAATCATACTTATGAGGTATTGTTATTGAATCTTGGAAAACGTGTGTACTTTATTGCGTTATCTAAAACTGTATTTATCCAGAATTGTAAGAAAAACAAAAAGTGTTTTGGTCTTGAATATTCCTTATCATCTGTTCGTGGTCACTTGAATGGTAACTTTCACACCTTTTGTTTGTACGCCTTGACTATTGTTATTGCGTTTTCATTTTTTCGTCATGATGATTTGTTGCAATGGAAACATACAGGTTTGTCGAAGTACTACTACCATTGTTTACTTCTTAGGTGAGTTATCTCGATTATTCGGTATGATTTATGTGAATGTTGCAATATTCGTGATTTTTATTTATACCTGTATTTATTATAGCCCCACCAAACGTTAGCGAAACCATTGATTTTTGTTGTCAAATCACTGCCAACAACGTAAATGGTCCAGAATCACAATCACCGCCTTTAATATCCAAATTTTCCGCCTACAAATGGAACATTGTAGTTTTTCAAGGGATTTAATCTTATTTAATCTCACAGAATCAACACTATGAGATCATTTGGACACAATGATAGTAATAAAATAACAACACCCCACTGATGCTACATAGAATCATTTAACAGGTGGATCAGTTTCCATTTATTCAAACTCAAACTTTTTCAATTATTTCTTTTCACCAGTTTGTAGCTACTAATTGGGCGTAATCTGCCCAAGTTTTCATTTTTCTACTCAAAGAAATCAACCTGAATTCTTGTACTTTATT